CTGTCAGGTCATGGTTTCCTCTCAGTCACTGCAACTTCAGGAGATGCCCCTCTTTCTGGGTGGAGGAGTGTGGCCACAGAAGCAACCCAACATGGTGAGTGTGACATGAACTGGCCTCATGACAGCACTGATCGATCAGGCTGCTTTTCAGCTTTGTGGGCAACTTGCATGGCTTTGAGCAAAGACAGAATCGGCATGATGATTGAGCAGCCTTTTTTGCATGGCTCATGATCTGTCTGGGTCCAAGCCAAAGCAGGGCTGGTAGGCTGAAATGGAATCATGGCTGGCTGGGGTCTTCTTGTCTGCTGGCAAATGACGTTCTAGCAAGTATTAGCCATTTTACTGAGAACACATGTACACGCACTGCCAGCACAGTGTGGAGACCCTGTCTCATTCATTGTTGTAACCCCAGCTTCCTCAGTAAGGGTACTGGGTTTGTCCTCAACGGAGAAGCGATCTGTAGAGCTGGAGTCCATCATGTAGCATCTGGGTCACCTCAGGCAAGTTACTCAGTTTGTTACAAAAGAGAGTAATGTCTATTTCACAAAAATCTTACAAGGACCAACTGAAGAAATGGATGTGAAGGTACTCTGTAATTCTGAAGCATCACATAAATGTAGTGAGTTATTACTTGTGCAATTTGAAATAGATTTTACCTTTTCTGTATACAGTGTTCTTTAGGAGAAAACATCAATAATCTCACTGATTATCCAGCTACATAGCTTTTAAATGATTATAATATTTATCTAAGGGCATTGCAGCTGACTAAGCTGACTGTAGCCCCGAGGCTGTTAGTTAAAAAAAATTGTTTTTGAACTTTTCTTCTTGGAAAAAATTCCAGAACTAAGCCAGAATATCTGTATCAAATAAAACATGCCAGACATAGGAAAAGCTTGTAAATATCTAGCGGAGTCTCCGTCAGAGGATGGGGACTTGGGGTCCTTTTGCACATTGGTGATTGTACGGAAGCATAGGTGTTACTAATCTCATTAAAGATTTTGGACAAACCTCCCCTTACTAAAACAAAGTTAACTGGTTTGAAGGAAATGATATTTTGGAGGGAGAAGCAGACTTGGTCAGTGACAAAATATTTCCCATGCAGAAAGACACTGATATACTAGTTGCTAGAAACAACTGAACACCTAAGTTTCACGTTTTTATGAACTAGAACAATGGAGTTGTCTAGAACCCCTCCAGCTGATTATGAGGCTGGTGAACCACGGGCTTCCTGAGTCATGGAGTCTCTCTGAGTTAGGCAACACACAGATTATTGTTTCTTAACTCAATTTTGGTTTCTTTGTCGATTTTTCACAACTATTTCATACTCTGTTCAGGTCACACATCTCTCCCTGTTATTAAATTGGCCACTTGATTTAATGGAACAGCTTGTGTTTTCTCATCTTATGCTGTTGGCTGCCAGGAGGGAGTTAGCTTTGTATCCTCCTGCAAACAAAGAAAACATGTCTCCTTGTTGATTGCCTGGCCTTCAACTGCCTGAAGCTGTCTGCTGCTGGGAGCAGTGCACCCTTCCTCCTGGGGCCTCAGATTTCGTGGGGATAAAAGTTTGCTGCAGTTCTGTTCCCAGCTTCAGAGGGAAGCTCAGTGGGTAAGCTAAGGGAGAGTATGAATTTTAGAGTCTAGAAAAATGGTCTTGTACCCGTTTGCCATTTTTTCTCAGGTAAACCTTGTTACCTTATTTTGCCTGATTGTAACAGATCCTTGAAATACTCAGGATACAGTCTTGGGACACGCAATCCTTAAGTGCAAAACTACCACTGAAACACTTCAGGAGAGCTACAACAGATGGGAGAGAGGGATGAGTAAAGCAAACTCAAGCTGAAGTAGATGGTCTTGCTACTTTAATACTTGCTCCATCCACTACTTCAGTCTCCAAGGGGGGCATCAGCTTTAAGTGAATGCTTTAGACAGATGACAAGTCCTACACTTTTGGGGTTACTGGCAAATAGCCAAAACTTTCCATGTTAAATATTCATATGATGAGAATCTACTCTAATACCTAATTCTTAGGTTTGTTGTAACTATGAAAAAAAAGTGTAACATAGGTAAAAGAGTGAGACTATGGTATGATCAGTAAATGTGACACTCCTTTCCTCCAGAGTAATGTTTGTTAGATGAGTGAATGAATTTGGTAAGAGAATTGCTTCTCTTTGTGTGGAATTGTGTTAAGTATAGGTGATTTTAGGTTATTTTTTTTTCTAGAATTCTCCAGGCTCATCCCTCATGGAAAATACTGGCTAGGTCAATACATTGGCTATGTGGCAGCATAAGGAGGTCAGGTCACAGTCACTGGTTCACCTCCTTCTCTCCTCTCCTCCATTCTCTCTGAGGCAGGATTTGTGCTCATCCACAGTGTGAGTTGGAGGAGAGAGGGGTTACTGTTTAAATGTATTTTCTTATTTTGATTCCTTTTTGGTAAATAAAACCAAAGATTTTAATGTGTCTGAAAAGATGCAGCACAGAATTAACATAAACCTCAGAATTAAACTAAAAATAAGAAAAATGCGAAGAGAATCCGCAATCACATATTCACTATGTTATGGTTCATATGGGAGGGCAGATGCAGAGCAGGAAAGGCACAAAAAAGTCCGTAACAAAGCATGTGTTTCCCATAATTCTTTTCAGATACACGCACATCAAGTAAAATATAAAAAAAAAATACTTCTAACACTTGTGATTTAAGATGGCAACTGGGGTAAAAGTTTTCATTTTGACATCTAGTGAAACAGTAGAGAAGTACAAAAAGAAATAAATCAGTAACATTAAAACGAGATTGGGGATGAACCATGGAACGATTTTAACATATTTCTAGGAGACTGAAAGTGAACTGGAACTGGCGGCGCGCCCGGTGGGTCCGCAGGTCTCTTGCTTCAGCAGCGTTTGGCGCCAACAGACCCAAGGCCGCCCCTTCTCCCAGCCGCGCCCTTCGGAACCATCTCAGCTGTCCTCGCCTCCGACACCAGCTGACACCTTCTTTTGGGGTCAGCGCCTGCTTGCCCTCCAGCCGAGCTCCGAGCTCCCAGATTCGGCGGCCCGCTCACGTCCCCACGTAGCTGTCGGGCCCCGAGCCGGGGAGGAGGGGCGGCGCGAGGGCGCCCGGCCGCGGCGGGAGCGTCAGGGGAGCGCGGGAGCCGTGCGCAGGGGCCTGGGAGATCCCGGGGCCGCCGACGCGCCGCGGCCCCGGGGAAGGACCCGAGGGGGCGAGTGCGCGACCACCCGACCCACCCACGCAGGCTGGCTGGCCCCAGGCCGGGCGGGGCGAGTGGCCCTGACAAAGGGCCACCTAAAGCGTGACAAGGAGACCGGCAGCCTTTGAGCGGCCCCTCTGCCAGCCCCCGGTGTCAGGGCTTCCTCCTGACCTCTCTGAGCCTCTCTCCCTGCCTCTCCCTAGGCAGTTTTTTAACCACTTTGGAGACCTCTCCAAGCCTCGGACCAAATGGAAAAACTTTTTGCAGCACAAGAAAGGAAGGAAGGGAGGAAGCGGGGGAGGACGGAAAGGGAGAGACAAGAAAAAGAAAATGATCAGGAATGGGTTGGTGAATGAAACAGGCCCAAAAAGCCATGTTTTCAGATGATAAAGAGCTACAAGGAGGTAAGAGCCAATCTGCTCTGCAAAATCCCAGAAACTCTCTGGCCTCAGGGGCAAACAGCAAGTGAGTGAAAACCGGAGTTGAAATCAGGGATTCACCTGAGATCTTCTGTGCAGTCCCCGCCACCAGTAGGTGGGTGCCTCCCTCAGTCTCTTTTCCCCACACTGCCGTGTAGACACGATGGCATCTAGGGCTCCTCTGTAAGTACACAGAAGAATGTTTGGGGAAAGCAAAGAAACCCAGCCTTAAATTCCCTATACACCAAACACAGAAGGCTTTGCCATGATTGCAGGACAATATGTAAATATTAATAGCCTTACAGTGTGAAAAAGTAAAAGTGTAGCTGCTAGGAGGAGGAAAAGGACAAATAGCAGGGAAGGTAAGGCTGGGCTAATACGTTGATAACATTAGTGCATTCACTCATTCATTCATTTGACAAATATTTACTGTGTGTATGTGCTGTTCTAGGCACTTGGGATACAGAGAAAGGAAAAAAAAACAGACAAAACTCCATATCTTCATGGAGCTTACATTACATTAAGCCATTCGTGAAGCTGGAAGAGATACTGCAAAAACGATGGTATAAGAAATAGAAGTTTAAATATATTATTTAAAGATATAAAGATAATAGAGAAACTATAAATAATAACATTGAGAAGGGTAGAGATGAGTAAGTGGACTGAATTTTAAGCTCTCATATGTATAGGATTCATTTGATATTGTCTAAAGTGGGATAAATCAAAACATAGATACAATTATAACATCTGAAATCAGGGAGGCAATCATCAAAATGAAAAGCAGGAACAACTAAAAGTTTTCTTTTGGGGTGTGGCATTGAGGGTAAGAAGAGAAGGATGAGAATGTTATTTTTGCTTTCATCAGAAGTCCTATTTGCTTTGTTACCACATACATGTATTGATTAATACACATATTTTAAATTAAGTGGCTTCTAAGAGCAATCACAATCAAAGAATGGGACTCATTTTTCATCTACCAAGCATGAAATCGTTAGAAATAGATTTTCCTTTTTGCATCTTTTTGTGTTTAAAGATAGGTACCATTTCATTGTCTTCTCTTGGCTGTAATGAATGGTGGTATCCAAAGAACAGGTTTGCAAAGAAAGTGCTAGAATAAAAGATAGCAAGAAGTTTGTAAAGTGTATTATTAGAGCAGTTTGGGTGCAGTTCATTTGAACAAAATAATGCTTTTATTTCCCCATTGTTTACCTATGTTTAATAAGCAGTATTTAGGAAAGCAGAGCTAACATTTATTGAATGTTTATTTTGTATAAAATGCTTTGCATATGTTGTCACTTAATACCTGAACAATCTTTTAACATTGGCATTAATTTTCGCATTTGACAGATGCGCAATTGCGCAATTTCGCAATTGAAGATTAGACACATGGCAAAGTTTGCTAATGTGAGTGGGAGCTAGATTTCTAACCTAGGTCTGACTGACTCCAAAAACTGGATTCTTCCTCAACCCTTGTTTTTCCCAGTGCATACTTTCTTAGAAAAAGAACCAGATTTCAGTAAAATTCCATTATAAGTTACGTTTTCCATTGTAAGTCAATATTTTTGTCAATGTAAATTTCTGTAAGTGCACTATTTTTTTAGTACCTAAGACATTTAGATAGTGTGGTAAATATTTCAGTGTCAAATTGATAGTAAGAGTTCATGTCTGAGGTTCCAAACATTTGAACAAAAAAAAACCTTGTGAAGTTTTATTTCCACTCAACCAATAATATCCATTCTATTCCCTATGCTATACATAAAAATATTCCTCTATGGTAATTTATTCTTGGACAGCTCTTCTGGTTCATTGTATGACCAACTTTGCACATATACAATTTCTTGTGTTGCTATTATCTTCAGGAATGAGTCTCCCCGAGCCCACTAAGTTATCAAAAAGATATACTATCATAGCAAGTTAGACGCACATAGATTTGGAGAAAACAGTAGTAATACACGAAAATAAATTAGCTTCTATTTTGTGTACTTATTAGGTGTGAAATGCTTTGTGTGCACCACCTCGTTTAATCCTCTCTACAGGTCTGTGGAGAAGATATTGCGGTCAGTATTTTACTACAGTAGTTTACAGATGGAAACTATAACCCAGAGAATTTAAGCAACTTGCTCAGACTAAGGAACCGATAGACTTGGGATTTGAACACTAGGTTTAAGAGTATGCTTGTCATGTTCCTGAAGTGGCTTGATATGTAAATAATTTTACAAATTGTCTCGTGCCATCCTTGGGAGGCAAGATGGGTTGTAGAATAGTAGACTTAGACGAACTTCCCATCTTGACTGATGGGAAGTGGTTAGTGTACCAGCTTGCCTCTACTGATGCCACTCTGAAGGGCGGGCCTAAGTGTGGTGCCAAGGGCAACATTCTCTGCATTGTTTGGTTCTCTGCTCCTATTGATGGATTATTTGGGAGACATTCATGCCATGCTGCTGTTGACTGTTATTACTGCAGAATACATAAGAGCTGCAAAGAGGAGAGGGAAAATACATGAGAGTGAAAAATCTTAAAATTATAACAGGCTACAGCAATAATCTGACTTCTAACAAGATGAAAGTAAATGAGAATACAATTATGATTATGCTTTTGTCTGAAAAGCTACCTATGCCAGTACAGAGGCAGAAAGATGTGCTTTAGTAAAAACTCAGTTCAAAATTGGGCCATCCCCTCAATCTCAAGGATTTTTAATATCTTTACAATGACAGCTCAGAAATACGAGTCTCCAGGGCAGACCTCTGTTTAGCTCCAGCCCCATATGTCCAGTAGCTCAACCAGTTCCTCTTCTTGGAGTTGAATGTCTGAAACACTCCTCAGGCAGCATGTCTGGGATTGAACTCTTAAACCATTCGCTTGAAGCCAGGTCCTCTCCCAGTATCCCAGACTCAGTGAATATTACTACCATGTGTTCTGTTAGTAAATTTAGGCATCATCATTGATGCCTCTTTCTCTCTCCTCTCCTCCTCCCTATTTTAAACTGCTTTCTAGACTCTGTCCATTTTAACTCCTAGAATCTCAGAATTTGTCACTCCTTCATCTCTACCACTGCCTTATTAGTCTATGGGACCCTCATTTCTCGTCTGTACTATTGCTGTGGACTATTTGGTCTCAATGTTTCTACTGTGGCCCTCTTCACCCCATTCAGCACACCAGCCTGAGTGACATTTTCATTACACAGATATGACTGGGTCTTACATACATCTACCCCCACATCAAGTTCCTCTCATGCCTTTTCCTCTCACATACAAACAACAACCATGCTCCTGAATACCTCCCAGCTTTGTCTCAGTTATCTCTTCCCTGCTCTCTGTACTCCAGTCATGGGAGCTTTTGCCTTGGACAGACCCACTGTGTGAGCCTCCTTGGCAGGGAACCCTGGCGCTCCCTCTTTGTTCCTAACAGTGGAGGGCAAGGGAAGGGAGTCTTAGGGGGCATGAGTGATTCTGGGCCACCTCTTCACTAATGCATAATGAATGATAGTTCACAAGTATGATTATTTGCTCAGTGTCTGCTCCATTAGGTGCTAATCTGCATGTGGTCAGGGGACTGTGTTGGCTTTTGCTCTTTTTTACATCTTCAGTTTATCAGACAGTGCTCAGCGTATAATAGGAGCTCAGTAAATGTATTTTTAATGAATAAATAAGGAATGAAAGAATTGAGACTTTTAATAGATGGAAAGACAAAATAAGCAGTGTGATAAGGCTGCCAACAAAAGAGGATGATGTTCAGAGTCAAGAGGTTATAATCCCTCTCTACTCTTTATTGGATAGTCTGACCTATAGAATTTCACTCATGTCTGGCTCCTACACAAGAAGGCTGTAGTTAACTGCTTAGGCATGTTTGGAGAGGTATGTTAAGCAATATTGGCTGCCAGAAAAGGAAAGAACAATATGATCTCAGACTACTCCAAATCCTGAGGGATTTACTGTAAATATATATGTAGAAATAAGGCAACAGAAATTGCATGGAAACACAGGAGTGGCCCTATAATGGGCCTCTTAGGGGATGAAACACATTTTGGGAACTGGCTTATTTCATGGCTTCCTCAGAGTCAGAAGATTGAGAGTCAATTCTCCATCTTCATGGTGACTCAACCCCTCTGGGACTGCTTGGACTGCTCTTGTCACTACCAATCAGCTACATTACCCATAACCCTCACTCTCCTTTTTTCTACTTCATACCTGCCCATAGTTCTGCTTACTCATTGTTTCTCCTTAGGGACCCAAATAATGTTCTGAGCATCTTAAGCTGATCTTCCGTATCTTCCCCCAACATATCATCCAGATATTCTGTAACCCCTAGGTATACTTCTCGCAATATTTAAAGTTACCTAACTGATTTTCTGCCTCTGTGGCTTTAAGAAGATGTACCTCCATGGTTTTCTGCCTTCCCAGGTTGTGTCTCCTTTCCTGTGTTGCAGTTCACAATTTTTGATTTGACAGTAACTGACCTTTCTACTCCATTTTCTAAAATCCTCAGAAAGATCAGTTAGATCTGGGAGCATCCTCTCCCTCTCCTATCAGTGTCTCCTGGCCTTTTGTCTTAGGAAATCTTTCTCATCCTCCAGGTTAATCAGCTTGTCTTCCTCAATTTTGTTTTCCAGTTTTCTTCTATTCTTATTTTGATGGTAAGATGGAAACATGCTTTTCTAAATCATTACAGTTCCTACTCAATAGTCTAAGCAAATCTGACTTCTAGAGGCAGAGAATGCCATGTACAATGTCTTGGTTGCCTTCTTAGCTTTAGGGTTTGTATTGATTTTGTTCAGTTATCTCCCTTCTTCAGGTGAAGTTCCATATATATGTGTAAGTACTTACTGGACCAATTTAGTGTCCTTTGAAGAGTTTAAACTGGCTTATTTCACTTAGCATAATGTCCTCAGGGTTCCTCCATGTTGCCACATGTGTCAGAACTTCCTTTTTTAAAGGCTGTATGATATTCCACTTTCAGTATATTCCACATCTTCTTTATCCACTCATATATGTATGGACATTTATACTGTTTCCGCATCTTGTCTGCTGTGAATAGTGCTGCAATGGACATGGAGGACAGATATCTTTGTGAAATCCTGATTTCAAATACTGCATGATTTCACTTACATGAGATATCTGAAGTAGTCAGATTTATGGAATCAAAGAATAAAATGGTGGTTGCCAGGGGCTGAGGAGAGGGAGAAATGGGGACTTGCTAATCAATAGGCATAAAGTTTCAGTTAAGCAAGATGAAGTTCTGGAATCTGCTGTACAACATTGTACATATAGTTTACAGTCCTATATTTTACACTAAAATTTGTTAAGAGATCTTATTATAAGTGTTCTTACCACAATAAAATGCAAATAAAAAAGAAGTTCAAACTAGTCTTCCCCATAACATCTTTTCAGTTAATTTTCTTACCACCTACCCAGGAGCTAGAGTCCCAGATTTGGCCTTTATCTTCTGTTACTTCCCCCTGCCCCCACTCTACATATTTCATTAGTTGGCTAATCTTAAATATGTCTCCTCTCCTTCACTCTCATTGCTATTCTTCTAGTTCAGGTTCCCACTATCACTCACATGAACCAGTACAGTGACTTTCTCACTAAAAATCCTGCCTCAACTCTCCCCAGTTCTAATCCTTTCTCTATCCTGCTGAGGAAGACCTTTCTAAACTTTAAATGTAGTTACTCACTTCCTGGATTAATACCTTTCAATGGGCATGTATTGCCCTCATAATAAAGTTAAAACCTCCTATCATGACATAGAAAACTCTTCCTAACTTAGCCCCTGCCCCCTTCTGTGCCTCATTTCCCCAGTCCTTCTCTATCCCATCACACCTTCAATGACAAACCATTATTAGCAGATACTCCAGTTTTCTAGGTCCTTTCATACTTCCCTGTGTTTGCCATGTTGTTCCAGCTGCTATTATTCCCCTTCTGTGGCCAAGTCTTGATCTGCCTATAGATAGAATGAGCCCCTCTTACTCCTATGCTTACCTCACTCATAGCACATGTTACACTGCAGTAAAATGACTAGTTTTCAAATTTGTCTCTCTGAAAGACTGAGAATACCTGAGAGCAAGATCTGTGTCCTATTATCTTTGTGTCTCATGTACCTGGCTGAATACCTGACCCAGTGAAAGTATTCAGTGAATGGTTGCAAAGTGAATGAAACACATCTATGTTTCCTACTTATTTTTATCAGAATTTCTTAAATAGAAAAAGGGAGGAGGAGTTATAGAGAGATTCATTTTTGTCTTCACCTAGGCTGTGAGCTGAGGACCTAGAAGACTGTAGAATAGGAAGGATGAAGAGAGATGGTGTGTTGTGTGACTTTGGCAAATAAAAATATTTTTGAGGCTCTAGATTTAAAAATCATGTAGAGCTTACTTAGCCTGCCTTTGGTTTTGTTTCAACAGGAAATCTGTATGTTACCAAATGCCCAACACAGAGAAGTTTGCAAATTTCTGGCAAGGAAAGACCATAAATGAAGCATAGTTTGGAATCCTCATGTGTCCCCTGCCTGTGGTGTGTTCTGCCAGGATCCCTGCTTGCTTCCCCCCCAGAGTTAAAGGGCACCCCGTCATGTGGAGGCCACACAACTAGTTCCATGGCTTAAGCAAATCTTTATGCTTTCTTCCTTAAAGGTCACACAGTTAAAGAAAAGTGCTTACTCTTCCTGGCTTACTACTCACATTGAAATAAGCTCAAAATAATTTTCAGGCGACAGCTGTTAAGAATTTCAGAGAAATCATTATATGGCTGCCCAGCCAGAGTACTTTTGTGTCTGGGATGATGACATGCTGGTTGACAGCTTCTTTCACTACTTCACCTGTTTCAATTTTCTTACCTTCAATTGCATTTATTTCTATGACAGATGCCACACCTGTCCCTCTCACCCATAATATGTCCCTTTCTTGTTAACTAAAGGCTCCACCAAATCCAATTCAGACTCTGAACTTTGGTCTCTGAGCTGTTGCCTGGTCTGTCATCAGCTGTCCAGACGTAGCAGGTCAGTCTGAAATCCAGAAGATACAGAATTGTCTACAAAGTAGTCTGTTGTTCACTTCTAGATTCTCTGGGGTGTCTTGAGAATAAGTTGTCTGGGTATGTCATTAAATAGACTCAACATGTGTCTGTGGTGGAGTGGGCCCTGTGTTCTTGTTAGAAAAAATAGAGAAAACAAATATTTAGGTGCCTTCTTTGTGTCAGGCAATGTGTTAAGCATGTCCATACATACTAACTCATTTAAGCTTCAAAAGAAGTAAGTAAGGCATTATTTTCAGATCTTACAGATACAGAAAACAGTTGACTCAAATCACATAATTAGTAAATGGCAGAACAGGGATATGAACCTGGCCCTGCTTCTGTCAAAACCCATGCCTTTTGTGATCTATGTACCAAGCTGTGAGCTCATGGCGATTTGCATCAGGTGGGAAGAAATACCTGGAGATGTAGTTCCCACGTCCCACCCCTTGTCCCTGTCTTAATTCTCCACCTTCAGTTTGTGGCCCACCATCAGAAAATGGCATGTCTACTGACATTTCGGCAGTTGACAACCTGCCCTCTGCCTGCTCTTTCATTCTTTGTTTGCTTCAGGCTTTTCTTTAACTCCTGGAAGAAAGGAATGTTCAATAGTGTCATCATATCAGATGAAGAATTTAGATTTGCTCTAGGCTCTGCTGCTTCTTCAATACAGACCTTGGATAAGTTATCAATCTCTTTGAAACTCAGTCTCCTTAAATGTAGAACCCATAGATGGATGAGACTGTCTATGGCTGCTTCCCGCTCTGACAATGATTTTTAACTCTTACTGAGAGTTGATGACATTGTCATATTAGAATGTAGACATTATTTAAGCTCTCATAAAAGGAAGTTGAACATAAAAACTCTGATTGAGCAAACTGAGGCTCCAGGGATTTAAGTAACTTCTTCAAAGTTACAGAACTAACAACTGGTTGATCTTATATTTGAACCCAGAGAGTTACTGAAGTGAAATCGTCTTCACATGCCACCCAAATTCTTCATGAGCTTGGCCTGTCTACCTCTCCATATTCAGCTCTCACACTCCAACTTTATATTCTAGTAGCTGATGTGTTTGTGGATTCCCTGAGCTAGTCATGGACAGGTGTACCAAGGATTTTAACTGTGTCCCACCTCTCTGGGCCTCTGTTATCTGTTCATAAGTTCCCTCTGAGGTGCATCTTCTCACCACTTGGCTAATTCCTGTTTGTTCTTTCACAGCTTAGTGTATATGTCTTCTCTTCCAGAAAGTTTCTCAAATTTCCCAGTTAGGATAAATGTCCCTCTTCCTTGCTTCCCTAACATATCATTTGTACTTTTATCTTCAAATTGACTGCATTTCCTTAAATTTATGTGCTTTATTTTTTCTCCTTTACCAAGTCATAAGCTCTTGCCAACAATGTACCTTATCTTATTCATCTCTGTGTCCCAGGATCTAGTATGTGCTCAACAAATATATTTTGAACTTAACTGAATGGAATGATGCCAAACACAGGACTTTACCCTTGTATTTCTCAAGTTATTTTGTGGATATGATTATATTCACATCCTCATTTATTTCACAAATGGAGAAATGTAGGTTATATAACCGAGGATAGAACCTCAAAATTCTGCCAATGATCAGGCTTCTGGAAAGAGTTATCTATGCACATTTTCTTAATGCCTTACTTCCCTTTCAGAGTTAAGTTCTCTCTAATCCACCATGCCATTCAAATTGCACTGACTAAGATCTCAGTGGTGGTCACTTTGCAAAATTGAACATATGCTTTCAGGCTTCCCCTTACTTGACTTCCCTGAGCGATCACTTTCTTCATTCGAATTCTCTTTCCTTGGCTTCTATAATATACAACCTAGCATAACACACAATCTAGTGTTCTTTCTATTCTGTCTGGCCAACCCTTTCATCCCCCTTTGATAGTGCCTCCTCCTCTATTCAGCAACTGGAGTCCTTCAAAGATAGTCTTGGACCCTTGTTTGGTTCTTACCCTATGTTCTTTTCCTATGACATTTCATCCACTGCACAGTTTTATAAAAAGTACTGTGTGTACACCAATGACTTAAAGATTGGTTTCTCCAATACAGATCTCATTTCTGAGCTACAGAGTTATACACTCAACAGTTATTTGCTCTTTCGGTTGCCTCTTTTGACACTAAGAAACTAGTTCAACCCTTTCAGGAAAGTGTTGGCGTTTTGGTTACTGCCTTCAGCTTGGGTATCTTGGCTTTCTCTCACAGATCTTTTTGTTATGCTGTAAGCCTTTGCCCAATTTTGTGAGGAATCATCTAACTTGTATTTTTGTGAGGCCAGTTATTTCTTCATGCCAGAGGCAATGCAAGCTTTAGTTCAATAAAGGAGTGAAAGATAGCCAGTGTTAGTAGTGTACTATATTCCACATTGGTCATAATGAGCTAAGCATCATTAAGCTTTCCTCATCAGATATCCTAAACAGGAGCTGCATGAATACTTCATATCACTGTGATTCAGCATTTGCAGTGAGTGTGCACCATTGCACTATTGCATGTGAGTGAATGGCCAGTGCGGTGTTCATGGGTAGGAGAAAATCAAAGCATATATATTTAACTAAATGTTTATATGTTACAAATGTTAAAACTGTCAGGTATTCACAGGATTTGGTTATTATTTGTATGCTTTTGTTTTCTTTCACTAGAGAGAAATCCCAGTACATTGGTATTTACATTAGTACTGGGGAGCTAACAAATGACAGGTGTGAAAAACATCTAGGGTTATGTGTTTACCCACAATTTTATGTATTTTAATTATTAAGTCTTGCACCTAGGACATCACAAGTTTGCCCTTGCATATGTAAAAACTTGTAATTTTAGCACAATGTTAATGTTTTATTGTACCAAGAATATTTATTGAGAAAAAATGGGCTCTCTTGGCCTTCCATAAACATTGTGGGTTTTTATAAGTTGAACAAAATATATAGCATTAAAGTACTGCAAATTTCTAGACCAAATCTAAGCCAAAATTCAAATCCTTTCCTCTTTTTTTCTTGGCAGACTCTGTA